TTAATCTCTTGTAACGATAAAGTCCAGCATGTGTTGTGAATGTTGTGATGTCACGTGATTCTTCACTCAGTTCCAGTTGATGATAGCCCCATTTAAGGTCTAACTTAGAGAACACACTGCTTTGGGTCATGTCCTGGAGGACCTCATCAACAGTGGGAATTGGGTGTCTTTCTCTCACAATAGCTTCATTCGCTCTGCGCATATCAACGCACAATCGAATCTCACCAGAAGGTTTGGGAACTACTACTATTGGGCTGACCCACGGTGTTGGTCCTTTCACTTTCTCAATAATGTCCAGCTGCTCTAACTCATGCAACTTGCTCTCTACTTTCTCTCTCAGACTGAATGGCACTCGCCTGGGATGCTGAACAACTGGATTGACTTCTTTATTCACATGGATCTTAACTTGATAATCAGTTAACTTGCCCACTCCTTCAAAACATGCTTTGTATTTATCAACAAGGTCTGGTGTACTTACAACATTAACTTGTGGTCCCAGTCTTAGTGCATCTAATTCCATGGCTGTCTTCCTGCCCATTATTGGCCTGCCTTCATTGCAGATGACAATAAATTCAGCTGTGACATCTTTTCCAGCTAGGTTTACTGATGCTTCGAACTTTCCCAGTGTGTCCAGTGGTTCTGAAGTTCCATAAGGATACAATTTCTGATTTGTCTTTTCTGACTTGCACTTTACTCCTTTTTGCTTCAATTCTTCCCACGTCTTCTGATCAATGATATTACATGATGATCCTGAGTCGATGAGAACTCCATTAAGAATGACACCTCCAACTTGTAAATCGACTATCTCTGATCCACTCCTGTCCCATGTTTTACCGAGTCCCACAGTAAAAGCATATTCATCATCTTCACCATCCTCCACGCTGTTGACTTTTCCTCGTCCACCTTGTTTCCATGTGTCCTTTTTCTTCTTCTCTTGTTTACTCTTTGTCCTGCAGACTGAAGCAAAATGTCCTGCCATGTGACACTTTGTACAGGTTTTAGATCTTGCCGGACAATACTTGTCACGTGCGAAATGTCCACTTTGTCCACATCGGTAACATTTCAGACTCTTCTGATCACTTTTCCCATTTCCTCCAGGTTTGTTGTCTTCCTTGATGGCATTAACAGACGCTCCCACATCACCTTCAGTCTGTTTGGCTTGGGTTTGAGATAACTCCAACGATCAAGCAATCTTCTGCGTGTCTGCCAATGTTAGCTCTCGTCCCTTTCCCAGAAGTTTTTGCCGAAGCTCTGTGGACTTGCACTTATCAATGATTTGATCACATATTTGCTCGTTCTTCGTAGCACCAAATTCACAATTCGCAGCTTGATTACTGAGCTTTACAAGTTTCAAGTTGCCATTTGTTTATTTGGAGTTTAAAGTCAAAAAATAAGTGGGTAGGATAGCCTCCAGTTTAAGGATAAAACTATTAACGAGTTTATTATAAACATATACACAGGTAGCAATGGCGGTGAATTATTGAAAAGGACACATTCTTGTGAAAACGTGGCTATGTTAGATGTCAGGATACTCTCACAGCGTAATTGACTTACACTGTTCCTTGAAAAGTCATGGCAATCTAACAGACAAAGCTATGCTTTCTCTGAACGTTCATAACAGTTTAGAGTTGTCAAGCATGGTTATTTCATTTAAATCACAAGTGCAACCTACTGTTTCAACTTAAAGTACACAGAACCAATTATTCATTGAAATGACTTGCATTGCACGTGACGGGGAAAAAGTGTTAGGCCGTCAAGTGATCGGTGCACCCTCCCCTCCTTCCCCAGTTGTAACGCGTACAAAAACACATGCACAACTAAACCAAAAATTCTGTTTTGAGTAAGTCAACATACTGTGTTTCCCGCACAGTGCAAAACTAAGGAAATATTGGTCAGGGCAGTTAAGTAGTTCATGGCAATCATATTGTTATTCAGCAGTTAATGACCGAAAAATCCTACCAGAGCATCTCTGCCTCAAACTTGCATCCTTTCAAATCCCATATCAAAGAAATAGTGCATATTTTATGAAAAATAAATATCATTCTACTAAACAAAAAGTTAATTAACATGATGGTGATCATTTTCATGCTTTTCTATACTTATGTTTCCAAGAAAGTGATACTTTTAGGCTTCTTTGCATCTTTAGGTTTAGTGATGATTCTTGAATATGGCCTCTTGAAGGGATCCTAGTATAAATGCCCCTTAAGAATTGGTTTTAAAAGTCATTAAGAGCAATTGTCTGTAAGATTCGAACTATATTGAAAAGTCGCTGCCACGCTATCTCACCGAATTGGCTGAAAATTAGCATGTAAAGTTGGTTTTGGGTCTTAAATAAGAAATGAATATTTTTAGGTTCTAAATCTTCTTACTTTGAAAATTACCAACATGACCGTTTTGGGGAACCTTCGGCCCCGCGCCATATTGGTTAAATCGAAGGAGTTTTACGAATACAACTACAAGCGTGTCTTTGAAGCAATTCTATCACTGATGAGATACATGTCAAAAACTATCCTTCCTTATTATAATTTTGAAGTTTACTCCGTACATAGCGTTTTCGCCAAGACTGGCTCAACTTTCGGTCGCGCACACTTTTTGCATAATTTATGCTCTCAAAATTACCAACAATCCAAAGGCGTATATCTCCCTTGCCACACGGGATTGAAACTTGCTGCTTTGCCTAAATACTGACTGTTTGTAGCCAAATCGAATTTGTTAATAAAAAAATTGGGCAAATGCAACGCGACAGAAAGAAACTTATTAAATGGGCAGCATGTTCTAGTCGCTTTGCTAATTAAATTACACACAAATGCTCACTGATGTTGCCAAAAATAGTGATAAATAAAAGAATTTCTGTCCAAATCTGAGTAAAAAGTTGATCAAAAATCGCCTCTTTAATGGCAGTGACAGAATTGCTGTCAGAAACACTGCAAAAAGGCGGATTTTATCAGCGGAATGGTAAACTATAAATATAAATGTGTTGCTTGTGCATTTAAGGATACTGTCCCCACGTGGGAACTAAATCGTAATTTTCCCAAAACTAAAACTTTTGAAAGATATCACAAAGGAGAAAAATTGAAACAAAATATATAAAGATGTACAATTTCCACATTCAGAGATATCTCAAAACGGCATTTTCTCTGCGAAACGTCGGTAGTTACGTTCAACTGAGTTTTGCATGGCGTTACAACTCCTGCTTTCGAGCAGCCGGAACAACAACACCTAACAACAACTGCTCGCAATTATCATGCTCAAATCAAAACCAGATAATTAGTTTCTGAAGATATTAAAGCTAAATAAAACCACTTGCCTTGTGGTGTGAGATGGGAATCAAATTTTCTTTAACTCTACACTTCCTTTCCTATATTCTTGACGCTCCCGCTCTAAGAAATGAGCATCACTATTCAGGGTCTGAAATGAACATCACTATTTCCGGTTTTCACACATTGAAAGTGGCAAAGGTACAATTCTTTTGATCGTTCAACCCAAGTCGTGGCTCGAAGTTTCTTATGAAAATGTTAGGGTTTTCAGTAAGTCCCAAGAAAAATTATTTGTAATCATTTTGGACATTTATACTTAGTAAAAAATTGCATTACTTAACCTACAAAAGCAACGAAAAGAGTCTCAGAGTTTCTTGCGCCCCAAATTACTAATACCCCCCACCCCCCTCCCAAGGACGACTCGGAGTAGGTCAACATCGATACATGAAATAGAAATTTTTAAAAAAGGCCTGAAGTCATGTAACATAATTTGTGATGCTTTACCTTTTATTTTTAATCTTTGCAACGACACCTTTGTTTCCCGCACGTTATTACGCTCTCTTTACTTTTACTTCACACACCCCTCCCCTACATATTTATGGATCAGGAAGCCTCACTGAGCTAGGTAGATACCAGAGGTACTGAAATCTCCTCAACCCTGTCATAATCAATCAGTTACGGGTCGTTCGACAAAATACATGTATCAATCGAGAAATCATAAACTACTTTTTTTTACTATGGATGGCAGCTCATTCCTAACAAGTGGTTACTGCCATTACTTTCTAATTTTTCACCCTGAAATAGTCTGTTCCAGGCGTTCAGATTAGAGGGACGACACAGAGATGTAAGGACAAAAATCAGCCAAGGGCGCCCCTCTCACTGAACGCCTGAACCTTGTTATACACCTAAAGCTAAAGCTATGTTCACACTAGATACCTTTTGCGCCGACGCGATAAAAATATGGATAGGAATTTTGCTCACGCATTAGAACGGTGATTTCAGCGCGATTTATGTAACGGAGCGAAGCGCTTTGTTGCGCCAAATTATAAAGTGGAGTGTCACATATCGGATAGGTACTCATACTTTTCCAGATAGCTTTTCGTATCAGTATGAAGAGACACTCGGTATAGTGTGAACATAAATAGCCTAAGAAAAGTACAGACAAGACAGCACGAACCGATTCTCGGCAGGGCCTTCTCACCAGTCTCCCCTCAACTAACCTTTTTTTTTTGCTTTTTTTTCTCGCGAGATAAAGGATTATTAAAAAGGGATTCAAGGTAGCCTCTAGGGGCTCTGGTTTAAAGTGATGGTTTTCATTCATTCAAAAAATGTATCAATAATCGTTCAGATTCCTAGGTTCAAAAAGTTAAAAATTTTTGAATAACTTTTCGAAGGGTTTTAAAGTATGAAAATTGCGGGAGGAGGTGTTAAACATTTCTGAAAAATTGGAAAATACTGGATTTGAGGGTTGTTGAGATATGAAGTGAATAATAAGAAGACAAATGCCAGATAGCCCACCACTACAACAAGGTGCCTCTGAGCCTACTAGGGAACTAACTGGCAAATGTATATACCTTTATCACCCCCACCCCCCCCTCCAAAAAAAAAACAAGAGAAAAACAAAAAAACAGGAGTACTCCCTTAAGTCCAAGCTTATTGTAACCTCATTGTACAACTTACATGTAAAGGGACTGCTATGCTTTGACTTAATCACATTTGTGGAGATTTCATACAATTTGTCATTCAAGAGGACCAACACGAGCAATTCTTAACTAATTTGGTAAAAGCATCTACAAAAGGGGCTTTCTTCCGTTCCTCAGGAAGATTCAGCTCAAAAGCGCTACAGATTTCCTTCAGCTTCGGTAATGTGAGTTTCTTTAGTTTCCCTGAAGCTACAAGATCACACAAGTTGTGGACATCATACATGATTGGATGTCTGGGCTGCACTTGCTCTATTACATCTCTCCGAAAGTCTTCAAGTTCTTCTTCCACTTGGACAGCTTTCTGATTTTCTGGGTCATTTTCGGAAAATCTCCCACATCTTGCCCTTCTAGAGAAAAAATTTTGAATCTGGGTCGCGGTCAATACTTCTAAAGAAGAAAAAAGTCTCTCTCCGTTACCATCTTGGCGAGCAGTTTTCATTTCTCTGGCTACAGTTACAGGGTCCAACTTTCTTCCCGTCGTTTCGCCAACCATGAACTTTTCTTCTAGGAATTTTTTCTGTTTGTCACTGAAAGGTTTGTTTTTCTTGATCGATTTCAGTGCCCAACCTTCTTCTTCGTTCTGGTGTAAGCCGCTTGCTGTAGCTGAAATACGACCATCACTGACCCAAAGCTTTTTACTGTACAAGACCTTTGCAGTGTCCATCACAGATTCTCTTTCTTCCCTGAAGTCGCATTTTCCGTAGGTAACATGATTGACCATAGATCCGTAACGGGTGTAGACACGAACGCACCCTTTGTCTGGACAAGAAAACAATCTCCCAGAGGCGGTCCCCTTAGTCTCCTCTTCTTCTTCTTCACTGTCGACCTTGGCTAACGTCTCCTGCTTAACTTCGTGTTTCTTTTTTCGGGTTTTTATGGGGCGAAAGTCTCCATTTGAAAACGTGGCATTCGTCATTGAACTGATAGGATATTCCGTTCCTGAAGCATAAAATAGTTAATATCAAACAGTGCCCACTGCAATAAAAAAAAGCCAAACACCAATTTTCAAACGATTGAAGCAAAGTCTTTTTTTTTGGGGGGGGGGGTGGAGGAGAGTAGCAATAGGGGAGAGGGAGAGTTAGTGAGAGAGATAGATAGAGAGGATAAAAAGTACCTTCAAATTCTGACCAAGGGAAAAACTTTCCTTCGCCAACTTGATAAGCTCGCCATACCCTCACTCCATCACTGCTAAACTCAAAATTGTTCAGCTTGCTGATTCCTGGCCACTTTACATTGGTTTTATTAGAACTGTTGCCTTGTACCAGAGACACTCGGGCTCCAGACACTCCACCTCGTGAGGTAAGTGCAGAAAGAAATTGCTCTGCTGTAAGGACGTCGTTACCTTGGTTAACAAAAGAGCGTACATGGTTTTTCATTGTTGCTGCAAAACGGTCACAAGCGCCCTTTCCTCCTTGTGGATCGGAGAAGTCTAATTGTTGAATGAGATTCCCGATCGCTGGCTGATGTCTTTACAGGCAAGAATGGTGTTGGCTGCATGGTAGCAGCCTGCATTGTCTTGGCGATAAAAGGCGCTTTTGATCTCAGGGTGTTCCCTCTTGAGAGTAGAAAGAACATGTTCCATTAACTGGACAACAAGGGCTGTCCTGGATACACTTCTCAACTACATGCACGAACGCCTGTGTTTCAAGTTCACTCTCTTTCTTTCTGATCGCTACAGTGATGTGCCAGGAGATCCCTTTTTTCGCAAACCATTCTCCTTGGGATTCTCGGTACTGACGAGGGAGAAATTTCATAGCCCAGTCTTGTACAAGGAGCACTTTGCTGTCATCGAGGCATTCAATAACGTCTGTACGGGCATTATCTTGATTAACAAGTCTGAGCTGGTGTGACTTCCAGAGCTGAATTGCTCGAGTTGCTTCTTGAAATCTGTGAAGAGCATCCTCCTTATCATACTGGCACTCGAAGCAGGATTCCTGAATTGCCTTTTGGGTGTCCGACAGAACAGCTTTAAGGTCTTCACAGCGATTACATATCAGGTCATGATCTTGAGTGCAGGTACCTCTAAAAGCAGGATCTTTACTGTCACTTAGTGCATATTGGCTACAGTGATCTGACACGCGCGAAGAGCTGGAAATGTGAACCTATTGTAGAAGCAAGATAGTCTCAGAGGAAGATTACGCGAGACCAGACTATTCTGGAGAATATACCTAAAATATGACAGAGACACTAAACAATGACGAAAATGTTATTTTTGACAGCGCATCATTTGACAGATCGGATGGGCAAATAATTCGCCATAAAAAAAAATCCTTTTTCCCACTGTATCACTCCCACTCGTCATTATAAACTGTGTGCTCCTTCAAATCAGGAGCGCCGAAAGACATGGTAGATTGTGTAGGCAGAAAAATATCCATACCCTCACGGAGGGCACTTTTGTTTTAGACCCCCACCCCCTGGAATCTCTATTTCAGGGGGGTGTTTGTCATACCCCCTTCTCTTAAACCAATGAACTTCAATTACTTCTTTTCAGTTAAAAACTTGTTAGATGAAAGCTTAATACAACATGACCACATTATATTGAATACCGCAATATATATTGTGCAACAAAGCAACCCATAGATAACCAGACGTTTATTCACGAGCCGACGACAATTGTAATATAAAATCGTGCAAGCTGTAAAAAAGCACTCAGCCGACTGCAAATAAAAGATCATCGATGAAAAAAAAAATTGCTCTGAAACACCGATTGAGAGTAAAATAACTAATAGCTTGCCACTCCCACCCCCTCAAAAGTTGCTATCTTATGGACCCCCCTCCCTTCCGAATTTCCGTTGCCCTCCGTGGGGGAGGGGGGGGGGTATGGACATTTTCTGGAATTCCACATTTAATAATTATATTACCATAGGTTCCCACTTTGAAATCCGTTTTAACGTAATTCTTTCCCTCCTTTAACTTCATCTGTAGGTTTTACGCTGTACGTGCGTCAAACCCACTATCAACAAGGTTCCCAATGAGTTGTTCCAAGTCATCAAAGGCCTTGCTATCCTCACAAACAAAGTAATTGAGACCTTGTAAGGACTTTCGCGTAGATGCCTGACAGGAGGATAAAATGCGTCGTAATGTGCTGTTGCTTAGAGGTTTCACCTCTGTTTCGTTGCAATACTGTACGTATTGGTCAATGATGTGTCCGCTGACCGATACTCTGATAACATTCGGTGTCGGCACTACTTCTCCAGTCGACAATTTCAGAAACCGTTCACCGAATGGTAAATCCTGCACGATGTAGGGACTGGTAATAAAATCCAAGAAGTGATCCAACTGGTTAAGATCGATTCTCCATCTCGGGTTTTGTTTTGCAATTACAGGAGCTCCTCGCCCAGAAACTAAAATATGTTGTCTTGCTTGACAAAACATATATTTTGTTAGGCCTGGAATGTAATTGCGTATTTCTTGCAACGTGGTGATATCCGCCATTATAGAAAGAATTTGCAGTTTAACATTTGCACTTGTGGCGTTATTGTATGATTCAGAAAGCGCTCGCAGATACTTCACGTCATCTTCTCTTAAGGCAACCTCTTTACGTACTTCTAAGGCTTCACACATGTCGTTAGAGTCCTTTACGTTTAGCCACAGTTCACAGGGATAATTTGGTGACAGTACTCGCAAAACAGCAACCATAACTTGGCATGCTTCAGCTATGTTTCTTCTTCTTGTTCTTTCTGCTGCTGTTGGTGATCCCATGTCTACCTTACGAACTGGAGCTAAGCCAGAACTTTTAAGAAATTCGTTCAACTGAGTTTTTCTAAATTCTACCACATGCGATCTCATCGTATCTGCAACTAGACTTACTCTTTCTTTCTCGACTTTTTGTAACTTTCTTCTCTCAGCTTCTACGGGTGAGAGAACCTGCAAATTTAATTAATAAGTTGTTTTAGAGTTAAAAATTTTAATCATTGGTAACCAGGGGAGAAAGGCTAAAATTTTCTCAATTTTCAACTCGTTAAAGTCAATTGCTTTTCAAATTGGTAAGATGTAGCTCGCATAGAAACAGATACCGGAAAAACAAATGTAGCTTACCAGGGAGTTGCCTTTATATCCATAATCGGTCCCACTAGTGTCTCCACAACAAACATCATTATCACCACTATTTCCGCCACTATCACCATTATCATCCCGACCACTAACAGTGTCATTTGGAGCGGCTAGAGCGCAAACTTAATCACAGCCGTCATCTTCCTGATTATTAATATCAACGCCAACATCTCTTTCATCACCAACGTTATTGCAACCAAAATTATCATCGCTACACGAACAATCGTTACTACCACTATCACCAACGCCACCGGGCACTTGAACTTTGCAGATGTCATCGCCTTTACTTCAACTATAAAGGCTACCCTCAATGCTATTGCCATCCGCATGGAATTTAGAAAGATCCCTAACGCCGTCATCAACATTAGCATCACTATAAATTCCTTCACATTCCTTTCTATCGCAATCGTCGATGCTTAAATCAGCGCACTGTTTCGTTGCATGCAAACTGCTTGTTCTCTCTTGGACTTTTTTTGTAGAACTGTCTACTTGACAATTTGTTAGTTTTTCTTCTTGACAGATTTGTTTTACTTTGTCTCTGCACTGTCGACAAATAGCTAAGAAAAAGAAACAAAAAGCAAATATCAAAATAGGCAAATATAAGCCAGAATTAAACACTTGATCCAAACGTAATAAACGATAACGAAATAACTGCTCATATCATAATCCTCAGAATTCATTTAATTGGTGTTCGTTGGCCGGGAAAGGTAGAAAAGAGTAGAAGTAACGTACGTAGATGACTGAAGAGGAATCGAACGACAGCGAAACGTGGCAAAGAAAGGACGCTTGCTCTAAAGTACCAGACCCTTGGATCGACTTCATGACTTAACAAGATGTTAGAACAGTTACTAAAGCCAGCTAGTATTTCAGTGAAGAGGCCAGTTTTATCACAGAAATGTAGCTTTAATCACTGAATAAAGGTGGGCGCCGTTGACGATCGTAATGATCGTAGCGAACTTAACGTAGTAACTTAGCGTACTTAAAGTATCGTTGACTGGGAATTTTACTTATATTGATAGTGATACCTACGTACTCCGATTGGTACTAGTACCCCCAAAACACTGAATATTAATTCTGCTTGTAAAAAGGTGACTCCTCGGTCACCTTTTGGAGGTGGTATACCGGTGTGACCGCTAATGACGCTGGGAATAACACATCGTCTTTTGTTGCACTTCCACCGAGTTCCATACACATCGCGATGCCAGGGACAGATTGTTATTTTCTCAGCTTCTACCTCTGAGGAAAACAAACCTACAAAATATAGTAAAAAGAATATATATATATTAACCCACGGAATCCGTCGGTAAAGATTAGGTTGTTCAAAATGGTTTTGCAGATTACTTTTTCAAATTAGAACGAGAAATGCTAATCTGCTGGCGTGCTCTCGGAAAGATTTTTTTGGTTGCCCTCCACCCCTTCCCTCCCCCCCCCGCCTTCTTCCACCCAATCATTCTTTTTTTCTTACGCTCAAACTTACTGGCTAGGTATGGGTACTACTATACTTTAGGTTGCGTAGTGCCTTGCGCAAACATTGTATACCAGGAATAAGAATCGCAACAAATCCCTCCATACTAAACCGTAGTGTAGCGTGGGAGGTACCGCGCAGCCAAAGAGCACCCAAGGCTCTCAAGTCCGGAATAACATTTTTGCCGCTGTGCGCCGATTTTAAAAAGATCAGAACATAAGTCACGTGGCGTTTACCAGAAGAAACTCGTTAAAGTTAGCCTCTAAATATTCCGTAAGACTTGTAAAATCATTTCTTTTTGACAACAGCTACTCCTGGAAAGGTGTGATTTTCCCGCCTAGAATGTTCGCGCCAAATTACGCTCGCCCCGGGCTAGCTCGACTCGTGCCAATTCTGTGTTAAAATTTTTCAGTAATGTACTTAACCATATCAAAATAAAATATTCATTCCTTACCTGCTCGCCCCAAAAGTAACTGTATCTCGTCCTTTAGATTTTTATCCACCACTTTCAGTCCTCTTAAATGGGGTTTGATGTTTCTGGAACACTGCTTTAACGTCAAGCACTCGCTTGATGCAATAGTTACTCCACAAGCCACCCCGTTAACAAATTTAGCATACCCACATCTGACCATATTTATTTCTGTTAAGGAATAAACTTGATTAAACATACATTTCACTTGGCTTGTAGTTAATCTCACACCGTTAATGAAAACCCCTGAAATAAAATTTCACCGTAACCGGTGCCAGCACTTCCTCGTTGAAAAAGATGACTTGTGATTTTCTGGAATTCCAGGTTGATATAAAATAACCGGATTTGTCGAAAATTAAGGGAAATTGAATGTCATTGTTAGAGAAAAAAACAATAACTTACCTTCTTTCCAAACTGAAAGCACGGGAAGAACTGACAGCCCACGAAGACGTTGACATCTGATAAAGGATGTTCATTCCTGCTTGCGTTCCAGCGTGCATTTCTTTCTCCCAAGATATTATTGTTTCGTCGTGCGCAATAACTTACGGACTTTCATACAGTGCTGATGTTACCATCACGTAAGTTGACTTAATAAGCTGTTTTTTTTAAAATCTCATACCACTTAGTAGAATCCTTTTCACTGATTACGCTTTAAGTCCAGTGGCGGGAAAAATATACTAGAAGGGGAAGAGCCGCTTTAGAAAATTGTTCCTCGTACCGAACACTGTGCAGGAATTTGCATAAAGCCGTATTTATACATTGTTGAGTCTAGTTAGCGTTTGCTAAAATTTTGTAAAGGTTGTGCTACCTTTATTTGCGGACGAAATTGGTTGTTATATGTATTTGGCTGCAAACAGTATGATATAGTGGGAAATAATGTTGAACTAGTACGGATATGATGTGACAAATTGAAGCATGACATGACTGCGTGTGAGTGAATCAAACGTGTGTAATATTTATATTCGCAAAATACAGACGCAAAATCGGGAAAGACTCACCATTCTTTTCCATAAAAAGTGAAGTGTTATTTAGCGTTAGATAATAACCTGGACGAGGCTAGATTCATTAAAGAAGTTTTTGAGCAAGATTCACCGATTTGCTTTGTAAATGTCACTGAGGGCAAACTCGGGCAATGGCCGGGCTGAAATCATTGCACATTGATGTAAACAAATTTCTTCTCCATGGCATTTGCCCAATTTTTTTATTCATCGGTCTAATTTACCTATAAACAAACTTTATTCAGGTAAGGTGGTTTGTTCTAATTCGATGTGGCATGGGTGATATATACTTTTCAATTTCTACTAAATTTGTCTGCATTCCGAGTACCGAAAATATGTAGTAAGAAAATTCAACCGTTCCAAGCTCATGCTGAACCGTTTTCAATTAACTGTACGTAAATACAAAGTTAAAAGATAGTTCTTTTTAGCTGTACGAGTAATGGACAATTTATTTCTATGCCAAGGCCGAAATAAATGCTTTAAAAACTCCCTAAATCGGCCAATATGGCGGCCCTCCGGAAGCCCTGTCAAACCGTCATTTCTGTATCTTCCAAAGGAAAGAGAAATCAAACCAAAGAATATGCATTCAGTATTTAGGGCACCATTCTAAGACTTCATGCCAAAAATCAGCCAAATCTATGAGATGCCGTGTCAGGCGAAAGTTCGAATCTTACAGAAAATCACTCTTAAAGTATTTGATACATTTTGTTGTTATAGAACCAAACGCACCACCAGTTAATGTACAAGGACACAACACAACCTCAACCAGTATTTGGGTAGATTGGGACACTGTTCCTATCGCTGATCAAAATGGAGTTATACTGACTTATACGGTGACGTACACGCCGTTCCCTGGCGGCATTTCACGGACGGCCGTAGTGAGTGTTCCAACCACCCACGTCACATTGAGGGGTTTGGAGGAATTCACGAACTATAGCATCTTGGTTTTTGCATCTACTGTAAAAGGAGATGGAAATGCCAGCGATCCAATCATTGTTACCACAGACGAGGACAGTAAGTTGCCAAAGGCCGTACAATAGTTAACAATAAATAAAGGAATGTGTGCTCTTGGTAGTTATAATATATAGATTTCGCCAGGGCTAAACGCGTAGCTCCAGTAAATAAATTTATAATTTAAATCAAACAGTTACAAATTATCCACAAATCAGGTAACTGGAGAGATCCAGTTAGATCCAAGGGTAGGGCTGGGTGATTTTAGAGAAGAAATAATTTACAAACAGCACAAACGTGAAACAACGTCTAAAATCTTACATCGAGTTAATAGTCTTATATGTACACCTAATACATAGCAATAAACTTTGATCACAGTAGATTAGGCGAGAAAATCAAATTTCTCCCAAGCAAAATAACCTATTTGCCCACCTACACCACCATTATTCTATAAGGGTAACTGGAGAGTCCCGGAATACAATTTAGAAACAATGCTATAAAGGCCGTTAAGAAAAGATATTCCTCGATGGCAGCCAATTTACACGTTCTGCCTTTTCGGTTTTATCTTTCTGTCTAAAGGAAAGGCCAAAATGAATTTTTTTCGTGTGGCTCGCTACGAATTTACATTACAAATCTGGTAGCGTGTATCAACCAGCCTTCATCACCTCTGCGAGGTATACAGAACTGTCGGGCATATGGTTTGTTTATTGTCAGACCTCGGACAGAGATTATGTCATTTTTTGCCCTGTTTTACTCATAGTTCTGCGGTTTTTCACAGGATAATCTTGCAAGACAAATTTCATTCATTCAATATTCAGGACGATCAAAGAACGCGCTTCCTTTGCACAACAAGCTGTAAAACGCTTTTATATAGAAAATTCACTATTAGAAGGGACTGTTCACTTAGGTCAATCTGCCATTATGTAGAAAGAAGGGTAATAATGGGCTTTAAGCAAAAACTTTCGAAAAATGTTATTTTAATTCAATTTCCAAAATCACCCATTTGGTCAGCCACTTCTGAATTTTGCCAAGGGCCAAACTTTCAATGCGGGCTGGCTGGTGTTTGAATAAACAATACCCGGAGAGTTACGCTTTGACAGAAAAGAATTATTTATTTAAAAAATCGAGCACCCTAGTAGGAAGAGGTCTCGGAAAAATTTTAGTTCGCATTTTGCTTTTAAAACACACGAGTCTTTAACACTATTCATACACGCAGCATTTTGAGTACTCCTGCATGCGATTCTTGTACGACTAGAAACAACCTGCAAAGCGATAAGAAAGAGATTTTGAAAAACAGTCAAGACAGGATATATAATTCAACTTGGAATCATTATAAAGGACAACAGTTTTTATTCTCCAAGACATGTATAATTTCAGAGTGACGCGTACCTGAAAATCTTGAGTCATGAATAAAACCTTGCAGATTTAAGTTAAGATGAACTCGAGGCAAAAAAAATCTTCAAAGCTTTCTTTTTACAACCAATACGATTTCTAAATATTCTTCAGAACGTTTTCTTTCTCGTCCCGGTCAGAAAATGTCTAAAGACGTTTTAAGTTCTGTACATAGTTAAATCATTGCCTCAAATCTTACAAACTTCTGTAAAGTGACGGCATAAACAACTCTCGACTTAATGAAAGCAAAAAAAAAAGACCAACATCAGATGCAGTATAATTACTTAAGCTTAAGCTAAGTCGAGGTGCAGCTCTTGAAAGCCATCTAGTAAAATCAGAATCGCATAAGACTTTTGAACCCTCTTACGCATCAAGGTTAAGTACGAAGAGAAGCCTATTTTTGAAATAGGAGATTTCCGAATACTTTTTTGTCCAGCGGCTCATTTCTCAACGAAAAACCCACTAAACACGCCAGCCATTAGTTACAGAAGAATCTTGATAGCAGATGTATTTCATTACGTAGATCAAGTTCAAAAAGACGGTTAAAACACAATAAGATCAGTCGACACTCAACTCTGTTAGCTTGAGCTAGGGTCAATAAGGTCTAGGGTCAGGTCTTTGTGGCCCACAGTTTTTGAGTTTTTTGCCGAAAAGTTTCACGCATTTTTGTAGAGCTTTGTATGGAGACGCCATATTAGTGCACAGTTTTGGTGCACCAATATGGCCGCCGGAAATCAACAAAAACATCTGGAGTTCACTTTTTCTATAAAAGCTCTTTCGTTTCACTCGAGAACTAGCATACGTACGCATAAACATATCCTCTAATACTTAAAGAGGTTATACTGCTGAAAATCAAGAGGAAAGACTTTTTTCAACGAGACAGCATTCCTGTTTTGGTGTCACGCTCTGTGAAAACTCGGAAGTTCAAATTGCTGTATTTTCGAAATGAAACATGCTACGTAAATGGAAACTTGTACAAAGATTTAATTTTTGTTTATCTTCAACCAAGTGTAAATAAGAATTCGTAAAACCTTGCTATTTTGACTTCACAATTTGATGACGTCACAGTGAAAACCATCTATAGCGGCGGTGAGAAAATGAGAAATGCTAGCGGCCACTATAGTGAAAATGAGCGGCAGTGAAAAACAAAAATATTTCCTTCTCGGGTAACTACGAGGTTTCTGGTTTCAAGGAAAAGTATAAAAAAGCGTGCTGCACGTGGAAAGCTGTTTTTTAGCTAATTAGTTCTATTATTGTTGTTTTTTACCGTACTCGTTGTCTTCACCATTTCTTCAGTATTAAACGATTTTATATTTTCTTTGAGTAAATTACAAATATTGAAGCGAACTTCGCTTTTAGCCCTGGCTAAATCTATATATTAACATGAATGAGCAATATCATCCCACTCTAGCTTACTTCCAACATTTCTCGAATGGATAGAACCAAATTTTCTTAGCCATTGGGCAACGTTATATCATACTCCTCCCTCGACGGGATGACACCTGACTCCCTCCCCCCTCGCTCAGAGTTTGTACGTTCAGCGTTCGTTCGTACGCAGACGTCATTACTAGATAGATTACCAAATTTTCTTAGCTATGGGGATCTGCTCGCGAAGTCCGCAGAGCTTCGCTAAAAAGGTCAAAGTGGTAGCTTAACGTTAAAACAAAAAAATATACAAGATAGAATTTTGAACATTTTTTTAGGCACAAGGGTCTATCACTCTTTAGGAACAATATCACTCTACCAATCAAACAAACTTGACTGAGAGTCGGGTGTGCGAACCTTTTAAATTATAAAGATGCATTTTGTTGTTATAGAACCA